GGAATGTGTCTGGGTTTTTACCATGCAATTTCACTCATGGGCACAACCTGAGGAAGGCAGTCAGTGTCTGGCTAGGTATGCAAATCTAGGCTACTTAACACAGACAACTGTTTCTTTCAGACCCATCTAGTAGACTTGAGGTAATGATTGCTAACACATGGCCACAGTGCTTTGCTGGCTAAATGTTGGTCTTTCTTGATGAGAATCTTTAGGGTTTGTGGAAAAAAAAGATAACCATTAAGCAGTTGGTTTTCTTTTTGTTAAGTTTGTTCTCTCATTTTCCCATGGCTATTACATCTATAAATTATCTTTACAAAACAAACCTTTTGCTCTTGGACAGTTCAGAAGTAAACTTCAACTCAGACTCTGCAATTAGCTTGAATTACAAATCAGTGAACTCCAGACTGTCTTCTATTAAGAAAAGGTCATGACTGCCCTAGCTGAGGGGTGAGGGCTGATGGGACGGCACAGAGACAGTGCCTGGGCCAACTTACTTCCCCCTTTCCCACTCTTCTCCATGCGGTACTGGTAGATGTGCAGGGTGAAGAGCATATGGGAGTTGCGGTGGTCGTCCTCATCACAGTCCTGCTGGTTGCTCCGGCGGGAGGCAATGGCGGCGTCTAGGAAGAAGGCTGCCTTCTCTGCAGTGGGCGCCCGCAGCTCGCTCTGGTTCTGTAGCTGGAAGACAGAAGCAAAGAGCTGAAGTTTCAGGCTGAGGAGGTCTTGCCTGTGACTCATGCCTGACGGTGACACCAGTTCTGTTGGCTGGCTGTTCTATATAGTGAAGCCATGGGCCTCCCTCAAGTCAAAACTCCTGCTGGAACCAGGTCCTATGCTGATGTGCAATTCTCAGCTTAATTTGTATCTAAAAGCTAATATTGAGCACACCTGTTGGATGACACCCTTTTTCCGCCCCCCCATTTTACAACATAAGTACAATCTGTCAATAGCAGGTGTGAAAAGCAAATGGGTGTGTCAAGTGATCAATGGGAACAGATGGCCCATCCTTATCTCTGCAGAGGATAGCAAACTAACATCTGGGCCATCCATTTACCCAAGAAAACACCAGGCATGTGACTGCATCTTGATTCTAGAGATTACACTGTTTATGAACAGAGAGGTCACAGATGTGATTTTAGACCTGAGAGTGCTGGTGTCCCCCCAAAAGTAAAAACTTGGCTAGCTTTCACTTGACTCCTAATTTTTCAATTGTTGAATTAAAGCTAGTTTTAGGCCACATTTACTAGACTAGCAAAAGTAAGTATAAAAGGGCAGTGAAACACTCTTGAATGTCTAATCTGTATTTAAGAGATATCAATTTTTATCTTTAGCTTCTGAATTCATGTTTATTATATATTTATTAATTGCTTAAAGAAAGCATGAGGAGCAATGTGTCTAAATCTCATGAGAACTTGATCAAAATAATCATATTACCAGAATTTGACCAGCACTCCTTTTTGGAGGGACAAAAGAAAACTTGTATTTCTGATTTGGTCAAAGAATTGATTCATAGTATATGCCTTAGGGTCACTACAAATGTTGACAGTTTTGTACTCTGACTCCATCCCTATACTTTTGAACTGTGAGAACCAATCTTTGAAAACTGAGACCATCAAAATCTTTGAACTTCAAAGACAGGTTCTATTGTGTTCATGGCTTTGTATTTACTATAGAAAAGTAAACCGAATAATTTAAAAGATTTTTTCAACATGAGTTCAATTCAAAGACACTAGGCTCTTTTTCATCTGTTTCGCTTTCTATTAACCATATTTTTCACCTAAGTGGAGTTATATTCATTAATGGAGTTATAAAAGTGAATGGAGAGGCCAGCAAGTGGTATACTGGTTATGGTGGCTCGACTCCCATGTAGCTGACCACGATTCAAGTCCCATACCCGGTGGTTTGAAAATCATGCCAGGCATGTGTGCATGCATGCTAAAGATCCCAGGAGGAGAATGGAGGAGAAGGGATTGTGGTGTGGCCATTCCCCCTGAGTGATTTCTCACCTTCCCTCTCTCTGTCACTCTCTGGAGAGTAGCACATGCCCTATGGCAAAAAACTTAAAAAAATAAACAAAAGTGAATGGAGGGAGCAACAGGAGGTGTGGCAGTTTGGGCGCTGGACTCCCACATGATTCGAGCCCTGGACCCGAAAATCACACTGGGCACACGTGTATGCCTGCCAAAAATTTCTGAGAGGAGAATGGAGAAGAGATTGTGGCATAGCTATTCTCCCTGGGAGTGATTTCTCTTTCTCTCTCCCTCTCTCTCTCTCCCTCTCGCAAGCATATGTGCCCTATAACAAAAACTTTAAGCAAACAAAGTGAGTTGAGGTCATAGCCTATTTGAATATCTAGGAAAGGCTTGGCATAGGATCAGTGGGTAGGGTACCACTGACTGCACCCCAGACACTGTGCAGGCACCATCTGACCATGTTCTTTGCTTCCGAATGGTCATTCTCAAAGTGTGATCTTGGGGCCAGCAGCACTACTATCATAAGATAACTTGCTAGAAATGCAAACCTTGAGGCTCCACCCTAGACCTACTAAATCTGAAACTCTGAGGGTAGAGCCCAGTCATAAGTTTCAACACGTCTTCCATATGACTCTGATGCAGGCTAAAGAGGATCTATGAGGGAAGTGGAAGGATCTAAAGTGCATGAAGCAGGGATGTACACGGTCAGTTTTGAGCAGAGGGAAGAATAGAGGCCACGCAGTATCCTTGACTGTGAAAACCATCCCACTTGGGATGAGGCAGGTACTTACCAAATGGAACACTGACCTAAAAAGTAGGCATCTGACAAAACAAGAAAACAAAACCTACTCCTGGAAACTGCAAGAATTTCTGGTTCTGAATATGAAATAGGGAATCCCAAATCGTTCCTACATCTACCGTCAAACAGCAAGGGAGAGACACTCACAACAGGCATGACACCCTGAAAAGGCAAACCAGCTTCTCTTGGCTTCCATAGTTCTAGCAATTATATCACAGTTCTAATTAGAAAGTGGTTATTAGTTTTTCCTACAGCACTGCTAATCCGGCTATAAACCAGTGCCAGAAACACAGTTTATAGAGCCATAAACAGCCCCAGTAATGGCTGAAGCTATTTGTGCAGAGCAGTAAATATTTCGGTTTGTTGTTAAACAAAAGAAAGATTGTACTTTTTTCCCTTTTTTTTTTTTTTTCCTCTGAGCGTAGAGAAAGTTAATTCAATTCCCCCCTCAAATGCTGCAACAATTGTGGTTCCTGGTCATTGTCACTTAGATCCCAGGTACAAATATTTAGGTTGGGTGAGCAGATGGCCCCACAGCTGCAGGCCATAAAGTTCCAGTCCACTTTAGAGTAAACACTCTAAGCCTCCCAGGTTACGTGCCGAGTGATTCACGGCTGAACTACCCTAGTCTCTGAGACAGGGATGAACTACCTCGGGGCAAATCAAGTCCCCAAAGTACTCACCTGCGTGCCACAGATGGGGTCTTCGCAAAGGTACACGCCTGGGGACTGGCCGTCCTGCAGGCTGCCTGTCGCTACCTCTGACAGCAGGTCTCGCAGGTTCTCTTCTTTCCCCCACACCTCCACAGCTGAGATCCGAACAGAGAACCGGGCTCCGGTCTTTTCTTTCCGTTCATTTATCAGCTTGAAGAGCCAAGAGATGGCACAGGGAATGATGCCAAGGTTCTGCATGGAATCATCCTTTCCAATCATGGTATAGGATTTTCCTGGGAGAGCAAAGAAGAAAGAAAAGCAGTTTGAGTGTCCAGGCATCATTCCGTGGAGTCTCACAAATAACCAGAGATACAGAGGAAGATATGGGGGAGTGGAGAAAAGGGAAGAAGAGAAGTGAGAAGAGATGGGAGAAACAGTAAGCATTGGACAATAATAAAAGGCACTTTCCTGGCCCTACCGGTGAACTGGCTATCATAAATAATGCGAGAGCCCAAATGACAAGATTAAATCACATCATACCTTGAGGAGGATCACAAAGATCACGGCAATCCCATTCCGCATTATTTTACATATATGGGAAGGCAGGGACTTTTCATTACTATTGCAGTTCTTTTTATAGCTGCCCCACAGGTTAAATCCACATACTCGCACTTTATATCCTTTCTCAAGTTAAATGCTGTGTCTATTTTTATAGCATGAGCAAATTCCATTAAAATCTGAATCACTGCTTTGATCTGAGATCAGGAAGAGGAGACGGGGCCCACAGAAGTAGCAGAAGGGACATAGAAATGCAAAAAGGAATCTCCCTCAAGGCACACTTTTTGGAGACCCCCAAATTACTAACTTATTAATAAGCATGTAAGGTAAGGCCTCGTGAGCAGAGAGCCAAAGGTCAGTATTAATAGGGCACTGTTGGGGGATTTAAGCATCTCCCTTGTGGAGAGTGTTTGCTGCTTCTTCTCCCAGAGGCTTCAGTGCAGGAACGTTCCCAATAGCATCGGGACGATGAACAGCTAGGATGGCTGTCAGACTGCTTTGTCCAGACAGGTCTCAACGTGGTGGTGGGCATTTCTTGGAGGCTGGACCACTGGCTTTTATATTGGCTCCATCCACCAACCCCACATCCTCTTGGGGTAGGGGTGGGTGTGCAGGGGTGCCCCTTTGCTTCCCAAGCAGCCCCTGCTCAGGAAATGTACACATTAATGCACACTATCTGGGCTCGACTCTAACCTGGACTATGCAGGAACAACCTTATTATTCCCTCGTGCATCTCTTGGATTTGAAGGCTTTCCTATATGAATGGGGGTCTGCTTATAACACACACCAGCATTTCAAAAGCACAAATGGGGGAACCAGCAGTTAGCGTAATGGCTATGTCTCTGGACTCCCACGTAGTCGACCATGGTTCGCGTCCCAGACCGAGTGGCTTAAAACTCACGCCAGGCGCATGTGCGTGCGTGCCCAAGATCCCGAGAGGAGAATGGAGGAGAAGGGATTGCGGTGTGGCCATCTCCCCTGGGGGGGTAATTTCTTGCTTTCTGTCTCTCTGTCTCTCTCTGTCTGGCGAGCGCACGCGCCCTATAGCAAAAACCTCTCCAAAAAAAAAAAAAAGCACAAATGGTTATTCATGATTACCCAATTCAACAGCTATAAGAAACCCAACTATCCTTTCATATGAGGATCCTGAGACCAACAGTGAAGAATGAATGGGGCAATAGGGAACCCAACGAGCAGCACAAACAGTAAAGCTCTCACTCACCCAGCTTGGCATGGCCGAAACAGAACACACAGCCGTCTGCCCCATTGACCACAGACTGGATCACCTCTGCCACAGTCCCAGCACATACTTCAGCCTGCCGGACACAAGAAAAGGCAAACAGTGAATGGACTATTGGAGACATAAAATTGAGCCCACCAACCTGGGGCTTAAGGTCCCAGAGCACCACATTCTGAAGGGTCAGACCCTGCCATAGAGTCCTGGAGGGGCTCAGAACCCTGGGCACCTTCCACCCCTCGCAAGCCTGAACACTGCACAGTTTAACTACAGACTGCCCATCTGCTACACCATGGTACATTTCAGCGGCTGGATCTGCAGACCAGGTGGAAACAGGCTGGAATGGGAGCATAGGGTACTGCTATAGACCTCATTCCCTTTTGCCATCCTGGCCTCCTGGACGAGACATTTCAATTCTCCATTACCCCTGCTAACTAGATCCTTCCTTTACACACACACACACACACAGAGTTGATGAAATAGGCCAGAATGACTAGAGGGGAAAAGTTCATGTGCCATTTTAGGAGAGGGACCTTAAGAAACACTACAACTCTGATGCAAACAAAAGGTTTGTGATCTATGGAGGAGTCTTCAACATGTTCATGGAAAATGTGCATTATGAAAAAAGTCTATGCATGAATTTGAAACTTTCTTGCATCAAAATAAACTAGTACTTCAAGTCTCATCTTCCACGAACTTTTGGATGTACCCTCCAATCTCCAATGCCTGTTTTCTCTCCTGATCTCTCTCTTTTTTTTTTTTTTTTTCAATTCACATCTGCCTCTTTTTAAAACCAGCCTTTTCTTTCTTTCTCTACAGATACATTCACTGGGTAAAATGTCAGCCTCCACTTGTCAGTATGCTGCAATGGGTGTTCTTCAGCCTATAGTGTATCTTATCTCTGACTTAATTCTTTTCTTTTTTTTTTTTTTTTGAGAGATTTTTGCTATAGAGTGCCTGTGCTTGCCAGAAAAACAGAGAGAGACAGAGAGACAGACAACAAGAAATCACTCCCCAGGGGGGATTGGCCATGCCGCAATCCCTTCTCCTCCATTCTCTTCTCGGGAACTTGGGCACACATGCACACCTGCCCAGTGTGAGTTTAAGTCACTGGGTTCGGGACTCGGACCACGGTTGACTACATGGAAGTCCAGTGACACAGCCAGTACGCCAATTGCTGGTCCCAATCTCCAACTTGATTCTTAAATCCTCAGACAGGGACTAGGCTCTTGACAGCTTTTCTACTTCCCCATTCATAACCAAAAATACAGTGCTCTGCAAATGACAGGAAGTCAGTACATTCTGTGGACCAACTTGGTGACCTGGGAATTCTCTGACTAGCATCCACCACCTTTGTGGCAGCAGCAGGACAAGACTATTTGCTGTGTCCCGTCACCTTTGCCTCTGTCTCAGGGCGAGGAAGCATGGAGAAGCAGCGCACACACCGGGCGTTGCAGTCCTCAGAGCAACGTGCCCGCTGTTGAAGTCTGAGCGCCGGCAGCCTCAGCCGTGAATGCAGTTATTCAGCTCCAGGTTTCAGCAGCACAAAGAACCTAAGTACTGGGAAATCAATTTTTCTCTCTCAAGCTGACATGGAAAAACCACACTCCCAACCACTGTCAATTGTTCCAGGGTGGTCGCCTCAGCAACTCTGCTAGCAGTTCTTCATGGTCTAAGGACAGGACTGCTACAGGGACCACAGGACCTTTCACAGCCCCCAGGGCCTAGACCATGAGAGTCCAGTGTTAAATCCTGAGATTGAAGCAATGGAATCTTGATGGAACTTGCCCAAGGCACCTCTGCAGAGTGGAGAGAACTATTGCCTAAGGAAGTCTGCCTTCTTGGGATATAAAGCAAGGTACCGATGGGAGGCTGAGAGCTCACCTTGAACCACATATAAACTATTTGAAAAGCCAGCATGTGGCAAAGTGGTTAAGGTGCTAGACTCCCACATTGCCAACTGTGGTTCGAGTCTCAGACCTGGAGGCTTAAAAATCATGCCCAGCATGTGGGTGGTACCCAAAATCCTGAGAGGAGAATGAAGGAAAAGGGACTGCAGTGTGGCCATGCCTGCGGGGAGTGATTTCTCAATTTCTCTCTCATCGTCTTTCTCTCTGGCAAGCAGATGTACTCTATTTAAAAAACAAAAACAAAACAAAATATTCCATTATTGAGTCAATGGAAAAGATGCTGGTTGTGTGGACCAAGTGCCACCCCTGACTAACCTGTGCAGAGACCAAGAATAGAAGGACTGAGGAGTGGCCGTGAAGGGTTCAGGATGGGCAGGCAATCCCTTGCAGAGTTTGTGCCTGGTTCTCCACAGAAAAGAGAGTGGGCAGTTTGTCCACCTGCCGTTTGTGAAGAGCTCACAGCAAGGCCCTTTGCTGCTGTCCCTACAGATCTGAGAGAAATGCAGTCTTCCCAAACACAGACCTCCAGGCAAGGCCAGGTCTGCAGGAATACTCTGCTCACCCACAGGTCTGAGTCCTTCCAGCCCTTCCTCCCCAAGCCAGAGCCAGCAGAGGCTGTCACAGCAGTGGGTAGCTAGGGACCGCCATGGCCACAATAGGAAAACAAGGAACAAGGACTGTTCTCATCATTGCTTAGCTTCAGGGTGCTGATATCCTTAGAAACTGAGAGAAAGCACACTTTGTAACTGCCTGGGCTTACCACGGTGGAAGCTGCTTCACAGGCTAACAGCAAGACCCTGGGAGCAGGGAGCCACTCCACACACCTTCCCACTTAATGCTTCAGAGGCTCCAAGGGTGATCACCCCATGGGGGCTGGGCTGGCTAGGGCCAACAGCATGATATTAAAGTTAACAACAATCACATAGTAGTAAGATAGGGGGCTGCGTGATAGCATGGCAGTAAAATATGATGTTCTGCAAGGCTGATCCACTTGGGAAAGCTCCAGGTTTGCATCTGGAGACCTCCCTGGGCACACATGTGCCTGTTATGGGGATGGCTGAGGCTGGGTCACTGCATCAAGACCCTCTTGGGGCACCATCTCTTTCTGTCTTTCTCTCTCTGTGCCAGTGGCTGTCTCTCACTCTCTCTCTCAAGCTCATGGAAGAAACAGATGAATAAACTTTAAAAATGTTAATGTTAAAATAGTAAAAATAGCCAACACGTCATGAACATTTGCTATGTTCCTGGCTGTCCTAAGTACCTCATGTGTATCAACCCAATCACAATAGCTAGATGAGGTACATTTTGGCCATGTTCTCAGTATTACCACGCTGAGCAGGAAACATATAAGTTAACAGAGAATCCAGAAAGGAAGTCTGCTCAGGAAAGGCACTATGAACAAGTGACTTCATCACTGAGTCTTGGTTTCCTTGTCCGTGATACAAAAATAGCAATGCCTCCTTTTCCTAGCCCATAGAATTCTAGGCAAGGTCAAACAGGTTATGCACATGAGACCTCTTAAAAACCGCATTTACCTAGAAATATAATTCATTATAATATTGGAAATTTTTAAAGAGGGATTTTTTGCTATAGGGCATGTGTACTCACTAGAGAGACAGAGAGAGACAGAGACAGAAAACAAAAAATCACCCCCCAGGGGGGATGGCCATGCCACAATCCCTTCTCCTCCATTCTCCTCTCAGGATTTTGGGCACGCACATATACACATCTGGCATGAGTTTTAAACTTCCGGGTATAGGACTCAAACTGTGGTCAGCTATGTGGGAGTCCAGTGACATAACCATTTTGCCATCTGCTGGTCCCAATATTGGAAATTTTAAAAAAGTAAAATATTCTGAAATGAATAAAACTGCAACATAAAACACACTGAGATCTGGAACCAAGTATAAAGTGTAAACAAAGACTAGCAATAAAAATGGCTCTTCTTTCTGTAATAAATCTAAAACTCATTAACAGTCCATACTTAATTTAGGGTTAGCTTTAGAACTCTTACAATATAATGTGAATTTGCTTTCAAAAGTTTTAATTTGTGTTAATTATATTACCTGTAGGCCATTCATTAGGCTTCATGTCAGGTTCGAATTACTAAACCCATTGGGTGGTACAATACCAAACGACGTAATAGGAGAGAGAAATCATAGAACTGAGTCATAAAATTCTTTGTTTTCTTATGGAAAAACTCTTTGGGGGAACCATTTTCAACTTCCTGAGGAGGGAAGCCCATCACATGTGCTGTATGCCTGTGGTGTAACAGAGGAGCCTGTATATATGTCATTTCTTGCTGTACTCAGATACAACATGGAGGAACTTAGCAGAGACTACAAATAGGGACTATTAGCACTGCTGTCCTCAGGTTCTGCTGTGGGTTATTAGTTAAATATTACACATGTATTTATATAAATTCCAGGAACATTTAAGAAATATATCAGAAGGATGTAGGTGTTTGATGTCAAAATGCTGCCAAAGCAGGCCATTGTATACCAATAACCTGGATTATTTATGTCTGCAATGAGTTCTACACTCATGATCACTCCTCTGTCCCCAGGCCCTTGCAGGAACAAGAACTGTTGGTGCCACTAAGAAGCCCACATTCGCCACAGCTCTGGGAACCAGACCTATTAAGAACAGATGTCTACTGGAAATTTGAGTTTCACATCTGGTAGGATCTGTAATTCATTGGCTGCCTGTAGTCCAGTAATCTTGGCACCCTGGGTTCTCAAGAAGTTTCAAACCTCTGCTCATAGAAAACTAACAAAATTACTCCAATCCTGCACCCCACTCTGTGTCAATCCCCTTGCAATGTGGCTTGCAGCTAATCTAATCAAGACAGGGAATCTCTTCCCCACCTCTGGAAATTGGGTCAATCAAATACAGTAGAAGTGAAGTGGAATCCATTCTAAGCCTAGGGCTCAAGAGGCTTGCATGCATGGGTCCTAGAAACTGCCCTAAGAATAATCCCAAGCTAATCTGCTGGATGATGAGAAATAATGTGGAAGAGAGATCAATTGACTTGGCCAAGGCTATTCTAGACCAGCCTAAAGCCAGCCATGCTCAGACATATGATAACACCAAGCCAAGATACTCAGAGCTGCCTGTGCAAATCATGGCTGGTCCCAGACATGTCAGTGAGCCAAGCTAGCCCTAGAAGACCTACTCAGTGGACCTATGAGCAAAAGTAAATGCTTTTATTTTTAGCACTGTATTTTAGGGTGGTGTGTACTACAACAATAGGAAACTGATATAACAGCTATTCTCTGGCCTCTTTTTCTCCATCACTCTCCTGATTCAGGCCACGGGATTAAAGGTTGGCATCTGTCTCCCCACCTAACACTCCAGATCCTCAAAAGAGCTATAAACCTACCCTCAACTTTAGTCATGTATATAAAGCCCTAGGACATTATTTAACTTGAAACCAGTTTCCTGAAACATTTTTACACACTCACACCCAGGAGCCCAGGCAGGAGTGGGATTTTAATGGACCAGTCACCAGAACTTTAATGCTGTTCCCATAACATCCAATTCTGCCTGCTATCTTCCTGCTTCTCCGTGCCATCCACTCACTGGCTTATTCTTCCTTCTCCCCCAAGGATATATATTTTGGTAAAATCCCAGCACACTGATCCTGCCCAAAGTATGATACCTGTCTCAAAAGAATTGAACTATTCAATGGCATAAAATGACTTCTAAAGGTGGTTATGTAGATGGAAGAAATGGTCCAGAACACCTCCCTCCTCCCCACTTCCCAGCTCCCAGGTCCTAATGAATGAGTTAACACAGCTTTAATCAGGCCTGAGCCTGCAAAGGGGTTTATACCCACCTGAGAAGCATCTTGTGGAAAAACTGCATCAAAGGCAAACATCTTAGGAGGAACTTGGCTGCCTCTCTTCTGGAAGGCATTTTGACCTCCACAACTCAGAGGATCATACAAGGTGATTTGCTTCTTCCGGGGGTCTACTTTTAAGAAAGAGCTAGATTCTGAGGTATCTCGAGCCAAGGTGGAACAAATGCGAAGCATGACTTTCACCTGTTAAGAAACAAAGGTGAGCAATAACATTCATAAAGATGGCTGGATAGTTCATAATTGAAGTGTATATTATATACACCCTTATATACTCTGGTGATATAAATACATATGGCAGCACTGAACTCTCCCATGATAAATTATGATGAAATGTGCAATGAGTGAGTGACATGATTTTCACTGGGACATGGAAAAACTGATCTATTTATAATTACCAGGTAGAATATTTTGATATGTCCATTACTTTAATACAGAGCTAACACATAGTGCTCTTTGTCTTCCTATTAATATAAATTGAAAATTAACTGTGCCCTGGTGGTCCAATTACATAGATGAAAAGGTAAACGGGACTGCCAAGCTATAGGGGCTGGTGTAGTTCCCTTGAAGCTCACAGATCAATAAACCATGCACATAAAAGTTAGCTCTGTAATTTACTTCCCGGCTCGGCTCATCAGGACTCTGGGAGACAAAAATCCACAGTTATTAGTGTCATCATTAAAGGCCTGTGAAATGGCCTGTTTTTAATGGCCAACATTTGAAATGTGTTCCAAGGGGCAACAGTGATAAAAGATTGGTTTGCAATGTGTTATTTGGGATCCCATTAAGTGAGTGCAGAGAAGTTGTCATTTCAGAGAATGAAAGCATGTCTCTGCAGGAAACAGAAGGCAGTGCCCTTTCACCCACCTCTGAGTATCGAACATGAGCATCTCTAGTACTCACAGCTACCCCAGCCCCACTCCCAGGGCTGAGCGTGGTTCTAAGGAAATGAACAGCCTGCCTCAAGATTCCTAGGGTGAGCAGAAATCAAGCCGAAGCTGCCCACAGGTCTGTGCCGGGGAAATGGCAGCATTTGCTTTGTACCACCTCTTTGCTGCTATGTTGCTAATTCAGTCCAACAGTGATTGGCATTTTCTGTGAGCATCTAGTCCAAGCAGGCGCTGGGCTAATGCATGGAGCAGCAGGGTAGACAGACACAGAGTAATAATGCAATAAATTCTGAAGGTATGCCCAGGATTATTCTTAAACTCCTCTCTCTATCTTGCCTTTTGTCTACTATGTTGTCAGGTCTGATGAAAAATCTCTGCCATGCAGTTTTGGGGAGGAGGATGGTAAGTTTTTAATAAAATATTTCACACATATAGAAACGTTCAAAAAGTAATATATACTGTGCAGCATGGAGTGAGGTCATCCTCCTGGTACTTTCAGCTCCTTCTGAACTCGAGGACTTATTTGTAGTGTACAAAGCTGAAATGTAAAGAACTCCAAGGGCCCCCAGCTCATCAGATGTCCTATGCTGTGCCCAGCTGTGCTTGTCCTCACAATGTAAGAGCTCAAATGTGGATCTGGAAGCCAAGTGCATGGTGGACAGAACCCAAGGTTTAGACAAGGTTGACCTCTCGGGGTTCAAACCTTAGCTCTCCCAATGTGAGGTCAAAGAATGATAGCTGCCACTTTCTGAGGGTCTAGTGTGTGCCAAGACTGTGCTGTTATCTGTAGTATCTCATTTAATCCTCCCCATAATCCAGTGAGTAGGCAAACTTTCGCACACTTTACAGGTGAGAAAACAGATGTTACATAATTCACCCCAGATCAGTGCACCTGTGGGTGGTGAATCTAGGCTCAGATCCCAACTCCAGAGCCCATACTTTTCTATCATTCCCACTGCTGCCTCCCACAAATGCCAAACGTAGAGCCTCAGCTCTCTCCCTCGTACAACAGAGATAACAAAACCTCCCTTGTGGGACTGTCGTGAGAATTCAGTGAACTGACATGTGACATACTGAATGTGAAACTGGGCACATGTGGGTGCTCCTTCCCTCTGCTCTTTACCTGTCTCCCTCCGGATCTTGATGTCCTATCACTTCCCAGTCACGGCGTTAACAGGGTTTAAAAATTCCTTTCCCTGGACTCTGGGGACCATGAATCACAAACAGGGATTCAGGAGGGTCTCTACAGATAGAGCTCTGAGCCTGTCAAGGCTCCCATTAGTAAAACACTGGAAAACCCCATAGCTACTGCACATGGGAGAAAAACCACCACGTTCATTTCATATCATTTCTCCATTTCATTCTGGCCACTGCCTTGCTCACTGTGACTTTCTACAGTCTGAGTTCAGTCCCATTCATTTCTGTAGCTCTGCCCCAGTTACGTGGCAGGTGTGCTAATAATGTGTACCTGCAGTACACCTTTTGGTAGGTGTCTGGGGCCTCCAGGCTTTCCGTAAGTAGATCTCCTAGCTGAGCCTCTGAACATTACAAGTCAAAGATGATGCAACGCCAGGCAGAACTGATGGAGCCACATGGCCCACTGCTTTTCTATTTCACAATTTTGCATGCAATTTCTGGGTAACTAGAGGTACTGAATGTAAAATATGAGCTAAGTCAGGCAAGGGCCTACACCGAGAAGCAGGAAAGAAGGGGCTGAGCTAGTGAGTCATTTGTCCAGGAGGGACGCTGCTGCATCTTAATGAAGTTCATTTTCTGCAGACTGCCTGCCGATCCTGGTTGCTGGGCTGGCCAAAGTGATGCACAGTTCTTTAAAAACCCACTGAACTCTGAACTGGGGGAAATGCCATACGCCATTCTTTTCTTTGCAATTCATTTAAATAAATGGAGATTTTTCTCCTTTAAAGGAAGGAAATTGAGTTTTTCTGCTTCACCTCATGTCATTATTCCCTTAGTCCAGCACTCCACTTCCTGCCTAATCCTCGGTAATTAAAGTGCTTAGGAGATACCACTCGTGATCAAGAAAGACCCTCAGACTTCTTGCCAGAAGTTCTTGCTTTTGTTGGGTTCTTGGCATGGCCTTCAGCCCCTCCCCTTTCTACTGTTAGGTGGAGGGTCTGGGCAGTTGTTAACATGCATAGTCTCAAGGCCAAGGGGCCAGTCTTGGTCTCACTCCCCTGGGCAAAGCTGGGGGGAGTGGGGTCCAGAATGTTAAAGAAACAGTGAAGTGGGGCAAAGAGGGCCTGACACCCTAATTCCAGTGACAGCAGGTTGGCACTTCCCGCACCGAAGTTCCCGCTGGCTGGGACCCACTTAGTCTCGTTTGTCTAATTATTCAATGGATGGTGTGAGACAGCTGTTGCTCTGGGCAGCAGTCGTCTTTCTGTCCTGTTCATTAATCATTTCCACATCTCATTCTGGCCGGCATTAAGGAGAGAGGGAGAAAGGAACTGTGAGACGCTCATGAAGAGAGGCAGTGCCTCACTCCCGAACTTCACGGACACTCCATCAATGCAGAGGCAAGCGCCGGCTGCCACACAGACTTACTGGAGGCTAATGAGCAGCAGCCCCATGATCACTCACCGCCATGGCTACACGTGAGCTGGCAGACAGCCCTGCTTGTCCCCCGTCACAGGGCACAGCCACATGGTGAGACCAAGTGAGGCTTTTCAGGGCCTGTTTCTCTACCCAAAACTGTCCAGATAGAACCTTCTTCAGACAGTAAGGCTCAAGAGGGCTTTGAACCAATTTTTTCTTTTCTTCTTATTTTTTAAGAATTATTTCATTTTATTAATTATTATTATTATATTTTACATTTGCACTCACAGAGAAAGACAAAGAGTGGTGGTGGGAGGGGGAGAAAGCAAGCTGCCAGGTCCAGGACTCGAACTGCAGTTGGCCATACGGGAGTCCAGCACCTTAACTGCCATACCATCTACTGGCCTCAAATTTTTTCTTAAATTTTATTTATTTTTTTCCCACGAACAAAAGGGACAGGGTCAGGTTAGGGGGAGGAAAAAGGGAGAAAAAGAGCATGTGCTCACACTGATTCTACAATTCACCCTGATCTTTTTGCCAGTCTTGGGTCAAAAGACACGTGTGCCTGGTATCCTCCGGGAGTTCATTGGACTTGAACTAGAAGCCTTCCCATGTGGGACTACCTCGCAGAGTTTCTGTGTTTTACTGTTGCACCACCATCTGGCCCTGACTTTAGACAAATCTGACTGTTTAAAAGATCTCTTGCCAATCAGGAAAAAAAACAAAAACAACTACAGGTGACAATAAGGTCGTCGGAATAAGAAAACTCTGTCACTCATTCTCATGGTGAGCTTTGTTTAAACTCATAGATGCTGGCAAAAGGCCCTCTGTGGACCCATATAAAACAATGGGCTGCAATCAAAGCCTCTCCTGACCAAGATAAAACCCTGCCTCTGTTCCTCTTCTTCAACTCTTTGGGACCTCTTCCGATTTGATGGGAGCTTGCTTTTCTTCCTCCTAATAAACTCCTGCTTTACTATTCAAAAGAACAACAAAACAAACAAACAAAACCAATGGGCTGTTCCTGGACCTGTGTCTCGGTTACAATGTATGCTCAATAAGTATGTATAGGCGATGATAATTAGTTTTTCCCTTTACAAGGCTACAGGCTACAGAATGAAGTGAACTACTAACATCTCTTGGTTCCTTCACATCTCTATTACGTAACTCCCTTTACACTGGTTAAGTCCACAGACTTTCAGGAATCAACTCAGTAGAAACTGAGGTCAAGGTGCTAATGGATCAACCTGACCAGAAATATTATTTGGCATCATTTTTGTCTCAATCTCAGCAGTATTAGAATTATCTTTAAGCCATCCACAAATATTCTGGAGCTCCTGAAACATGTCTAGAAACTGTTCTCCAAAATAAATCAGAGACAAATAGAAAAGGGTGATCAAAACCCACCAACGGGGAGCATGATGGGAAAAGTAGAAAAGGTGAGAGTCAGAGGGATTTGGGAAACCTAAGGGGTCATCGAGTGACAGTTGGCCCAGCCACACTGCAGAGCCAGTTAGCACCCCCTCTAGCCTGGATTCCTCTTTTTTCTTTCCCTGCTATGCAGGGAAGTGGCAGTGAGGGTGATGCTGGGTTTCTTGTGGTGAGTGTAACCCCCAAAGTGTTCATCCTGTCTCTGAGTCTCATGAGAGAGGCAAGGTATAAGTGAAAACCTCAGTTGAGGACACCACGCCCTGTCTCGTCAGACCCAGCAGGGAGGGAGCAGCGATGCCATGTTGCCCT